AAGGCGTCTCTCTAACAAAGGATGTGCTCTGAAGGAGGTCAAAGCATGCCTTTCTCTAATTTTAGTGGCAGCACTGGAACTTTAACTCTTCAACTAACTTCAGAGCTGAGGGCAATTGAATTCAGAGCTAAGTGGGTGAAATCTAAATCAATTGACAATTCGTGTCGCCATACCGCCCTAACGTTATTATATACATTACAAAGCATACTTATCCAACTTATATAAAAAATAGTGGAAAAATATTTAGAGGGCACGGAGAAAAACGTTATCTTATAAATGTAGGTATTAAGTAATATATTATGAAACTACATATTTTGCCTAAAATGTGTGCGCAATTACAAATAACAAATTGTTTCAGAATATATGTTTGTTTTATAGTCACATTGTATTTGTGACTATATACAAAAAATAAACCAGGTTTTGAATTCAATTATTTTTCTGGATGTTTGGAATATTGTAGGGACAACGTGAATGATGTAAGAGAGATACTCATAATCCAAGTATCTATCCTTTGTTTGTAGTCAGAGGCATAATACAAATACACCAAGTTGCAAACACATTGAGTAATAATTATGTACAGGTAAAATTAAAAACATTCAATGCCATTGAAATATGAAAGTCTAAGTTTTTTTTTCTGTCTCCTTAACATTATGACTTTTTACTTCCAATTCAATGAACTTTTCCAGAGAAATAACAAAGGTGTGCATTAAATCAGCATTATGCGTTAATTAATTCATGATTTTAAACAAATAATTTTCACCATATTTACGTACCTGCAATTATTTAATAAAAGGAACCGCTCATTGATTATTTTTATTTCTTTTCCAGGAATTTGGCAGATGCATTAAGCACACAAAGGTGAGTACGAATGATCCAATATCCAGTATTCCTTTCCTTAGAATAGACATTTGAAACTTAATTTATATGTAATAATATGAAATGACCCGAAAAATCTGAGTGTTATTAGAATAAAATATTTTATAATAAAAGGTTAACTTTTTCTTGATCAGGAAACATCATAAATTTAATTCCCTCCGAAATATGATAACAATTAAATAATCATTTTGCGTGGTTGTGAATGTAAATGGTTGTAATTGCATCTATTCTAAAATATACGTTTTATAGCCTGTTATATTAAGCAATTTTTCTTAATTTCACTTTAGAGCCTCAAAATATTGGATCTTTCTAAATATTGGAATCATTGTTCACAAGACTTCTCCCTGCACCAATTACTTGAACGAACATCTTTGAGGTACACAAATTCAAAATGGACGGACTATTTTACACATTTGGACAGTCAAATGGTCTTTCAAAGATTTTTTAATGCCTAAAACAATATTCATGATTTTTTTTTATTTCTACCAAGAAGGTAAAAATCACCTTCCTTTGATCTAAGGGTTCAAAATGGAAGCTCGAATTTTTTTATTGATGGTTTCGTTTACTGACAATGCACACATTATTACTCTCACAAAAAGTTTAATGAAACATTCTTGGTGTTTTTTCTTGCTTACCATATTTCTTTCCGCAAGAACCTCGTTTTTAAAACTTTGATGCTGAGTGTATAATGTTCATTAGTCGGTGCACAAATGACTCATTCTCCCCTTTTGAAGTATGAGATGGTACGCCCAGACAATTAAAACACGGTGGGATGATCATTTATTGCCGCTGCTTGCTGGCATCTAAGTTGTTCAAAACCCATGTGCAATATCTACATTCTATATGGAATATGAAATTTTAATAACAATGAAAAACCTTATTTTGACTGGTTAAAAGCATTAACTTGTAACTCAACTTCTACATTTACAATCAATGTTTTGACCTTTTTCAAGAGCAGACTTTCCATCATAGTTTCCTGAACCTCATTTCCTTGAGTGTACATAATAAATGTTCTTGCTCGATTCACGTGTCCGGGACACGGGGTTGGAAAAGAATTGGCTGCTTGAAATGTTATGAATAGCGTTCCTGCAAGCAATGGTCTGGCAACGTGACTTTAAGGAATGGCTTGAACTATTTTTATATATGTGCCCAATTTTCTTGTAACCAGACATTTCATAGCAGAAAAATGTATACATGCAACTGCTAGAAGCCCCTCTTAAGTCACTTCATTCGTACATGCTTCATTTGCCAACTTACTCTGTTTTCAACAAATGAGAAAACTAATTAAATTGTGTTAAAGAGTAATCTAATCAACTAATTTTAATTAATTACATCCTTATTTTCCTGAAAGTGATTTTCATATTCTCTTTTACAACATAGAAGGTCCAAGTATCTGTGCATAGTGATAAGTAGTACACGTTCAATCAAGAGAGGTATGAATGTACAAGTGTAGACAAAAATAAATGTTTTTTTTTCTGAATATTGTGTGAGCCGAAATAATGAAAAAAATACATAAAATAAATTGAAGAATTATTATTGATACAGATATTCTTATGTTCACGATTTTTGTTTATCTCAATGTATGGACATGCAATAGCTCAACCAAACACAAATAATTCAATAACACATTTTATTAAAACAGTGGTAATAAAACAGCAACTCTTCACGCCCACAGACTTACGAGAGCTGCGAGGGCTGGGGATGGGATGTGTGTCGTGCTTAATCACGCATCACAATAATATCACAATAGTAGTTTATGCAATTAGTTTATAATGTTAAGCTTTATTGCATGAGTACATGTTTTGAAAACGAGCGACTTTAGGAGCGAGTTTTCAAATTTGTACGAATGTAATAAAGCAACATTATAAACGAGTTGCATATTATATTTTTTGTTAAACAACATTATACATTTATAAGAGAATCAAACTTAATTTTCGAAACACGTGACGACTCGTGTATTTGACATCGTGCGAGAAAACGGTGGTCGGCTGTTACCCCGATTCTCTCACTAACATTGGCTGAATGTATGATGACGCAATTATTCGTGACATAAAATCTAATACGTCGTCATTTGTGCCGTAAAATGCCCGATTATGAACGATTGAAACAAAAAAGGTTCTTGTATAATGCTGGAATACAAAAAAAAAATTTAGTGTGAGATTCGGAATGAGACGAATACAGAGTGTATGGGAGATGGGAGTTTGAGCAGTTGTTGCGAAGCTGGACACAAAATCGATAGCGGTACCGGAATAATAAAATATGTAGGTTGCTGTTGTTTTATTGATGAGTAATTCCACGCTCCTTAACTGCTAAGATTATGATTCCCGTAAGTGTTGTGCGTGTTTTCATCGCGGGAGGTAGTGGTGATTTTCACACATCGGCACCAACCAACGTCGGCTTTCGGGGTTTTTCCCCAACCGGTTTTCTCTCACTAGCGAGGCACCGCTCTAGCCGGGACGAGTGTGGTAGTGTAGTGCATATGAGTGTATTTGTGTGTAAGTAAAGAGTGAGGATAGGACAAGGAAGAGGAAGGAAAGATTGTTTGTGGTCCGGGAACTTTTTGTTATGGAATTGCTCCGGCATTCGCCTGAAGTTCATCGAAGAATCCACGGAAACCTACCGATCGGAGCAGCCGGCCTCTAGAATTCTCCTCCAGACAGCGTCGGAATTCGACCTAGCTCTGCAGTTAGTGTGGAAAATCCTGCCACCGTCGGGACTCGAACCCTAAGTCTTCCCGGTCAGAGGATTGATTGGTGTGGCAGTTACGGTTCAAACATCAGATGTATTGGATCAGTGGTTATTTGCGGCGGAAATATCGCGTCTGGGTAGTCGAGATTGCTGAGCCGTATGCGCTTTGACAGACTCGACTCGAAGTCCTACGGATTTCGTTTCCGCCTCGGGCATGGATGTTAGATTCCATGTGATGGCATGGTTAGGGATTTTGAAAACGCCATGTATCACAAAAAAAATAATATCCTTTCCTTCCATTCCCTTTTCCCACCCTGGTAAGAAGTAGATAGGACGAGTTAAGGAGTTGGTGGTCCGTTAGCGGGCAGTAAGACAGGTTGATGGACAACAATGCGCACGGCACTTTTGCTTCAAGTCTTCAAAGGTTCTAGGTGTAGCTACGGGCCCCTGGACCACAGGCGGCGGTGTAGACACTTGCCACAACGGGTCTGTGGACCTCAGCGACGCATACGAGAGGGAGCCGGGTTCAGGTGCATCAGGGAGTTATTAGCCAGGGTTATATACTCAAGATGGGGAACGTCGGTAAATATATTACGGATTGATTGATTATTTCGTGTTACCGGGCGCGTCATCTGCTATTGTCATTAGAGCCGTAAGTGTAGTGAATGGTTTATCACGATAGGAAGCAGTGCTCCGATCGGTAGTTTTTCGTGGTTTCTTTATCAACACCAGGCGAATGCCGGAGCAGTATCCTAACAAAAGGACCACGAACCATTCGCGATCTTTTCTTTACCTCTCACGTATCACACACAATTTCACTGGCATGCACTATCCTATAACAGACGTCGGGAGACCAGTCGAGGGCTGAGCTGTGAGTCGAGGTCTCGACTGGGATGGAACCCCGCTGGGGACATACCTGGAGGGGAAATGTTTGGTTATCTGACGTGTCGGTCGACGCCAGATCTCACCGTTCAGCGGGAAAGAAATTACACCCGGTGAATGCTGGGGAAATACTCTAACAAAAGGGCTACGGACTGGGCGCGACTTTTCTTTCCTCATCCTTGTCCTATTCACAACCGTCACTTACACTTATAAGATCGCTGGTGAGGTAGATAGGTTCTTATAATTATAGAAATAAAAGGTGTTGTCGGGTATCTCTCTCTGTATATATATATATATATATATATATATATATATATATATATATATATATATATATATTTGATACCGGACAACACCTTTTATTTATTTACTTACACACACTGCCATGCTCTATACTACCACACATGGCGGGAGGCCAGTCGGAAGCTTAGTCCTTGTCCCGGCTGGGGTGATGCAGGCTGTTGGGAGATACCTGGCTGGGAAACAACCCGGAATCCTCCATGTAGGTGGACACCGAATCTCACACCCGGAAATCACCGCCATCTCCAGGAATAAAACACCCACCACACTAACGGGAATATTGAGAGTTGTAGCAGTTGATGACCATAAACATCAATAAATAAATTAAACCAACCTTAACGGCGATAGTGAGTTTTGTTACCAACGTACTCCGTTCCATACAACGGCGCGTCACGATTCCGTCAACAACAAAGCCGCGGAGCACGACGCGACGGCTAGCACCGTCCCGCTCGGGGTGGCGACACTGTCGGGCGACGCGCTTTTGTCGAGGGCAGCTGCGCCGTTGTTTTGTGCGCGGTTCCGCACTCTGGCGTGGATTTACTGAGTGCGTGCCCTGCTCCGTGAGATAACGCCGCTGCCGACTGCGGCAGTCTGGCGCTGTAGAGCTTGCAAATGTCGCCGCGCGGCGAGCGGTGTTAGAGCGAAGTTGCAGAGGGAGGCGCAGTGGCGCTCTCAGAACTCGGCGGGGAATTTCAGAGGGAACTGTTGAGAGTGCGCTCCGGAAATAGGGAAAAAATGAAGATAATTTTATTTGCAGCAAGAGATGTATAACGCACAAAATTGTTTCATATCTTTTGAACCCAACACAGTTTTTCAGTAAGTTTTCGTAAGGCGTTGTAGAGTTCCGAGGACGTCACCGTCGTCGTGGGGATGGATATGTTTCCAAGTAATAATTTTTGGTGTACACTTATTAGGGATATTGTGGTGGACTTCCTTTTAAACTGAACTTTATCTGTTAAATCGGCTCCTCTCCCTCAATTATTAAGTGTGTAGGTGGCGCTGATTAATAAACTGGTGAGCAAAGTGAGTAGTGGCAACCTCCCCTTCTTAATGTTTGTCACATTTACATGCGTATAGTTCATTTCTTGATTATCATACCCTGAAATACATTCACAACCCATTTTAACAAAGTTTACATATTTTACAAAAATATTTTGTAATCCTATGTCTAAAAAACACATACTATCCGGGATAAAACTGATGATTTTCTCAATCGAAAGTAGGTGAGCCTGCATGCACACTAAGGGACAAGGGATAAGGTGTTTTTTGTCGTTTCTAGATAGGGGACGAAAGTAGTGGTTTGAAATTGTCTTTTCCTACGTGAGGAGTGGTAAGGCAATCATGAGGTTTGAATGAGAATGAGCGATATATTAATATGAATGGTTTGACATGGTGTTCAGCGGTGATAAGACGGCAACGCTACAAAAACTGTTAGAAACACTTCCGTGTTATTTCCACTTGAATTCGCAGTCTTTGCATCCACATGCTAACCTTTCCCTACATACAAACACTCACACACAGCCCAGCACACAAACGTCTCATAGAAACGTTTTCTCTATTTCAATTTGCACGTACATTCGTAAAAGGTTATTTAAATGCAAGTGATAAATATGTCTTAACTCTGTTCAAAGGTAGACCATAACATGAATAAAATTATTAAATGTGATGGCATTTGCTACTACTTCTATTTCCGAATCATAATTATCAGAGTATTCACGAGAAAAGTATACACAAAGGGTGTTTCAGTTGTTCTGCTTTGTGAAGAACAGTGTCGCCCCGTATAGTAGAAAAAAATGTAAATGCTAAATGGGGTAAGACGAAATTTCACATTAAATATAACACATTTTTACAAAGTGGATAAAATCTTGTACGATATATGTCGTAAAGTATTTGATTACAATACGATAATGGAAAATTGCCAAACGAGGCCGTAAGGCTGCGTTTGGTAACCAATTAAGTATGCAATGGAAATTTTAAGGCTTTCTCGCCTTTGTTAGGTTTCTCATTTTGCATCTCGTACGTAATTGTGTATAAGCATTTTCATCCCCTCCCCAGTTCATGAATTATAGGATAGTCTGAAACATACGGCGGTAAACGGTTTCGATGTGAAGTCACGGAGACATGTAGCAACAAAACCATATTTTACATGCAGGTATTTCTTTTTTTTTTTGTTATTTAAGGTCACATTAACTTCTAGGTCATTAATGATCACTATTGCTTGTAACAGTATGGTAACTGTGAGAATGACACGATATGATGATATTAGGGTGAAAGGACGAACACAGTACAACCATGCCCGAGGCGGGACTCGAACCCGCCATCCTTCGGTCCGAGATCGATACGGCACTACTGCCTTGTGATCTCGATCTCGGCCACTGGATCGGCACGTGCACTTTGTTTATAATGTAAAGTGAAAAAATAAATAATATTAAATAAATAATACAATTTAAATAATAATAATAATAATAATAATAATAATAATAATAATATAAGATAATATAGATAATATAATTTTACAGTGACCATTCATGTTTCTTCCAATACAAATACGATTACCAAACGAAAATATAATGAAAGTTAAAACGTTTTAGAAAATTAATACTATTAACTACATTTGTAGAATACTTTTTTCACAGTGACGAAAATTAAATTAATTTTCTCCCTAACTCACCTCATTAATTCATTAACTGGTAACGATACTTATTCTGGGGTTGTATAGCATGGTCCTCTTTTTTCGTCATGTTGTTTCATCAGTTGAAAATATTCCTCGCCATTACTGGACATTTGCCTGCTCTAAATAGTGCACGCAAAGGCGGACTTTCGCAAAGGCAGACTTTTGCTGGTTATGGAAATGAGTACTCTTTATACTGCACTCAACGGCTTATTTCTCCTTTCCTTGTAAATGCCTTTCATTGCACTGAAAGCCCTTTCTATTTCTGCTACTACGAAGAGAACGGTCTGGACATTTTCGACCTCCTCTACACTCTGTACTTTTTATTTTATCATTTCACACTCGAAACATTTTACTTGTAATCCAACACACGTTGACCTACTGAACTTCTGTGCAAACTCATGCGTGGACTAGAGTTCAATATAAGTTTTCCCGGGTAATACCAACATAAAGTTTGTCATTACGCTAGACTTGACAAAAACCGCTACTGAACAAGAAACCTAATTTTATGAGGCAAATATAACGGCGTTTGATTGCATTCCGCTCCTCCTCTACCATCCAATCAAAACATGTTCAACACCGCAAATTTAGCTCCACTATGGCAGGGCACTTGGCTCAACTGAAGTACCACGTACCTCCGAGAATCCCGCCCCAACGCCGTGCCAAGCCGCAGTGAGCAGGCCGCTGCGCCAATTACTCCGAACCCTTGCTAACGAGCATTAGAACTCTGGAGTACTAATCGCGGGGCGAGCGACGCGGGGAGGGGTGACTTGGGGCGGAGCATAGTGGTGCGGGGCGGGGCGCCGTGGGGTGTGG